TTTGTAATGGAGAACATTCGTACATTTTCATAAATATTTTTATTATTCTTTTGCAACAGAATGATTTAAAAAAGTATTAGCGTCAATTAATTATAATGTAAAATCATATTTTACAGTTTTTAAGTCAATTGCAAAGCTATCTTTTATATATATTTGTAACTTTTTTATTTGAAGTTTATTAATATCTGTATATATATATATATATATCATTTTTGAATAAATTTGTGTTAAATTGTTTATATTTACCCAGACAAAATACATTCAAAAAGGAGACATAAGACATCTTAGATGTCTTGAGGATATCCATACAGAAATGGTACACGCAGACAAATATCTTGATTTCAGGATATCTTATGCCCATATTTTGAGCATATTGTTCTCTATGACATTATGTATTGATATCTTTTATTTTTTTTTTAATTTATATGTATTATATGAGGGCAAATAAACCTAAAGTAGGTAAACACCTATATATGACATTGATGTTGACTATTGAATTAACTGAATATTTTTACAACTTCAGTGCAACATCGCCAGCAGTTCTCTTATAATTCATATAACATTTTACATGTCAATTGTGTTTATGTAAATTTTGTGTTAATACACACCGTTAGTGATTTGCACACAATCTCTGTTTACATGTTCTTTATCAAAAGATCTCTTTTGGCGCACCGTGCGTGAGCTCGTTTAACTCATGTTTACGTGACAAAAGTCAGTCGAGCAATTATGATTAAATCCTTCAAATGATGACGCCAACTGCGATGTTGCGAGATAACATTTTGAGCGTGTTTTATGTTTTAATTAGTTTGCTAGAAACTAATTAATTGCTTCACGCTTATATGTTCAAGTCGCTCGTTCGTCTAATTTGATCGCATGAGATGTGTGATGCTGAGTTTTAATTGAATCTTTTGCTCATTTAATCAATCAGACTTCGGAATCATTTAAATTTCTAAAATTGGTTTCGGCAAAGTGGCGAATGAATGGTCAGTATTTATAGCAGAGTGAGAAGATTAAAACCACTTTGCAATTATTGTTCACTGACGCAAATTTCATTTTACAAAAACTAAAAAGAGCTGAAAGGAGATTTTGTTAATTACTTTGGCCATGGAATTTACAAAAAAAATTATCACGACATTTTTGCACAGTGAATTTGTCTAATGATGATTGTCCGTAAATTTCTTCGCAGATCTTCGTGACAAATGTTATCGTAATGTTTCCTTCATTGGCAATGACATCATAGCAATTAATTAGCTATTTAATATCTATCTTCACGAATAAATACATTTTACTCTTTTAGTAACATTTATTCTCTTCTATTTTTCTTCGGCCCTATAACTATGCTAGTCTTGTTAGAGCTAAAAATAAAGAGATCGCCGCTTCTACATAGCAATCGAGACGACGACGCGACGTCCGGCATGCAGGCTGAGCACGCCTCTGGACAATGACTTTGTTCCGTTTCCCACCTACCCAGATTCAATTAGCTTACTAATTGAGTTCATTATATACATTCAATGAGCCGCGAAAATGAAGCTGTGTTGCTCAATGTATGGATGACTCTTGTTCTAATCTGTGAGAAGAATTGCTTCAAGTTTTATACATGATGATTATACGTTGTCATATTAAAATCTTTAATTTATTGAAATTTTGATTAAGTAGAATATTTGTAAGTGTATTGAATAAAAAAAAACGATCTTTTTGGATATTATAAAACTATTGTTAATAATTAGTCTTATTTATCTCGCACTATCAAAATAAAATCTGAAATTAGATTTCTACTTCAATATAAGTACGATTATCTGCAGACTTATCATATAATAAAATAAACTATATATTTAGAATAATTTTTATTAATAGTTTACATTAAAGAATTTCTTATTTAAATATTATAGGTAACTTTTAGATTTTTTTGATGCATTAAAACCTTGATTAAAATGCATTTTTTTTTTTATTAGCTTCATTTAACGTTAACATATGTCTTTGATGCATATTATAACAAATTTACTAAGAAACTGTGTGTTAAGATTAAATATAGAAAAAGAGACTTTCTACATAATAATATATTTAATAATAATTGTTTTCAAGTCTATATCGTAATTAATATTTTTGTACAGAAATAATCAGATTGTATATATGTACACATATATCTTCGATTTAAAATTTCTCTATATATATATATTCCTATGCACCGTTGTTTATGTAAGCATCCCAAGGATGTATGAGACAATATGATGTTTTTACGAATAGCTCTCGAAGTTTTTTAGGTTCTTTGAAGTGCATTGCAATCTTTGGTTGTATTTGCCTCATTACTTATTCATATTTTATGCGTTAGAACAAAGAATAAACATGATTATTGTTATTAAATCTACATTTGCAATGCACATAGCTGTATTTTACAAATTACTTGCTACAATTAAATGCCTAATTCATATGATATAAATTACTGATTAAATTTTAGACGTGATAACTGTCTTTACATAGAATATCATAAGTGCAAATATGTATATAAATTATGAAATTTAAAATTTCTCATAACATAATTATAAATATTTTTTGATTAGGTTTATTTAATTATATTATTTACTACTATTAGTTAACAAATTTTGAATTTGTTTGCCGAATTTGAATTTATTGGTTCAGATAAACATTTTCGTATCTATAAAAAGATAAGGGATTGTTTAAAATAATAATAATCGATCTGTACTTTTCAGTACGTGATAAACGTAATAAACTTGAATAATGTGTGTTTGTGAGAATTATTTTTGATATTAATTATCTGTTATAATTAGCTGTATGAGAAGAGACATAAGAAATTGTACAATCAGATATTTTGGTACATTTGTACGCTGTGCGTGTGGGCGTGTCTAATTGTGAAAACAGAGAACAGTTCCACGAATAACCATTGCTTTCTTCAGACTTCCTGATGATGATTCCTTGTCCTTGACCTTGACGTATATTCATCTTACGGCAAAATTACGCGGATTAAATGTTAGTATGAATAAAAGTGTTATTAGTAATAAAAATTAATATAACAATATACGCGCTGTTACTTGCGTGACATATTTTTGATATAATTTTTAAAATTTTATATTATATATTATTAATTATTATATATTATTAATTTTATATTATATAATAATAAGCTTATATCAACGTACAAAGAAAATAGTAACACAATATTTAACGTAAAGTTATAGTATGTTTTTTTTTATGCGTGATGTATAAAGCTTACTGTTATGTACTGTTATACACATACATATACAAGTTTCAGTTTATATGTTCAGTTTACGCACTTAATGTAACGTAATGCGTTACAGATGTTCTTGTACAGAGTTTTACATACGCATCGTCACCTTAGCTTGAAGAACTTTTTGTCGCTAGATGTTCGTTTGGTGCTGCTTTGCAAACATTTGTTTGTTTATCGTGAAATCATCGATGTAATTTACATTGCTGCTCTTACATATCCGAACTGCCAGACAGAGAATCTTCTTCTTTATCTTAGCGTTTCTAGCTAGTCTTGTTTAAAGAATGTACTTAGAATCAAAACAGAAACTCATTTAGCTCTACACATTCATTCGTGCACGTCTTTCGTCGCACCCGAGATCGTTCTCCTTGAGATGTAATTCATGCAGCGGTGCATTTATCTATGCAAGCGCATGCGGAGCGGCGCCGTACCGTGTATTGGAATAATGCATTTCTCGCATCATCGACCAGCAATGTTCCCCACTTTGTTCATGACCTACGTTACCAGGGAAGTTTTTGATTTATGTCGTAGCATGCTCGTTAACTGATTATCGATCACGCGAGAAAGTATTGCTCGTTGTTGTATGACAAAAGTATAAAAATATTGAATATCGTAGAGAAAATTTATGGCTTGTATCTATGAATAATTAGACAAATATTGAAATATTAATAGATATTGGAATTAAATATTAAATATCATAATAAATGTATTAAATATACAATGCATATAATTGATAATTGAGAGTTAACGAATTGTATTCTGTTCAACAATTTTAATAAATGAAGATTCATTTTTACGAAACTAAATATTTGATTCTATTTAATAAAATGTATGATTGCAAAGTGTTGCAAAAGCAATTATTCGGCGTATATTAATGTTTTAACTAAAACTTTTAAAAATTATTATTATATTAGTTAGTTTGCTGATTTGTAAGTTATTTCAATTTACATTCATCACATTTCAGTACACGGAAACGAGGAATTACGTTAGCAATCGTTTGGCTTGAGAGAACTTTTATCGAATTACTTTAAAAAATCTCTGCACAGTACCTACTGAACAACTTTATCTTACAAGTCGATGCAGGTGCATAGCGCCGCCAGTTCCGGGCAGGTTTAGTCGAGTTTGGTTAGTTCAGGTGGTCGAATGGTAGCGCGCACACCTTTTTGGTGTGCAAGTATAATTTTTTCACAATTCTATTCTAGCTTCACGAATCTGACAGAATATTAATATTTGTACGATTGGCGCTATAACAACATCGTTATTGCGTGACGCACATTAAATCTTTCGAACATTCTCTTGATATTATAGAATTAAAAAATATATTTAATTTTGATTTTAAATATAATTTGCTCCTTAAAGCACAATAAATATGAATAAAGTATAAATTATTTAATATCCGATTTTCGCACGAGGTGTCAATAATAATAAAAAAAATAACGAATACGAGAAAGAGACGTACATTCTTAGGAATGGATGACCACGAGATTCAATCCACGGTGGAGTCTATACTCGGGCCTGGTGTCAAGGTCGTGGACTGCGAGAAAAAGTCCTGCGTGAGAGAAGAGGAAGTTCTACTGATAAATGGTGTACCGATCCCCCTCGAGGGACCAGACGGAGTTGCTATACGAGAAGCCATGATAACCGGCCAGGTCCCACCGTGCGATCTTCTCAACCAGATTCTTGTCAAGGCTGGAATTCTAAGGTAGCATTGTGGATCTTTTCCTATTGTGCATATTGTATTTACTCATATTGTATATCTCATATATTTACTCGTATTTTTCCTTCCTTCGGTCGAATATACGAGAATTATCGTATATGAAAATATTGGTTATTATAATTTTATGTTATTAATATAAATGACAATTTTACTGTTTGACATGTATTTTTTATTTATTTGAGTTAGCTTAGAGACTATATTTTATTACTATACTTAAGTGGACGGTATATAATACGATTTTGTATTATTTTAATTATATATTTTGATGTAAACATTTACTGTGATTTGTTCCTCGCAAATTCATATTATATTCGAAGTGCACATTTCGTATAAAATCCACACTGCTATCTTGTAAATTGACGTGGTTGACGTCTAAAGGGCCCCAGTGCGACTCGAGACATCCTTAAGCGTAAAATCGTCTATTGTGACGAAGGAAGAGGTCACCGTCGCTCGTGGCGGTAAAGTTGTTGACGAGAGAAGTCGCGAGACCAAGGAGAACAATTATTATGCGTCGTCGACCAGTGAAATATGGGAGCCGGTGGGAATCATCCATCGACCGAGAAACATTAAGCCATTCGACAGCTCCGACGACTCCAGGCCAAACTCGAACGCCAGTTCCGACCAAGGTTACACGACTAGCAGCAATCATGTCCTCAGAGAGCGAGGCGGTGCCTCCACTGCGGGATGTCCTATCTGCGAGGACAACGATCCTGAATGCACCAAGAGATGTCTTGGAGGGCTCACTGGTCTCGGAAAACAAAAGGTTTCTAGTGTTCGGACAACTACATCAGTGGTAAGCTAATTCTATCAAATTTTAAAATCAGCATTCATTTTCAATGAACATGAGAAAAATTCAACATTTGTGCCATTATCTCAATAATATACACAAAGATAGTTTGTAGAAATACTCTTATTGTTTTAGTGAAGTTATGATTAAATGACACTTTCTTAAAAAGTTTTTGATTAAATTTTAAATTTAATGTTCAACGAGATGCGATTATTTGTGAATTTGCGAAGTGATTAACTGCAAGGTTGATAAACTGAATTATGCATCTCTCTTGCCTAATTTGGCAGATTCTTGGAGAGTAAGTAAGTGGAAATAGAAAACAGCTCTTTTAAAACAGGTTACCACTTAAGTTGCCATATAAGTAGATATAGCTTAAGCTATGATAGTCATTTTTATGTCTTTCTCTATTGTATTGTTTTTCTCTATTCTATTGTTTCGCTGGTTAAAAAGTTAATGTATTTGCATTAAAATTGTTATACATATATCAAATTTTTCACTTTTAATAATTCTTGACTTTCATTTATATAAACTTTTTATTCAATATGTATTTACTTAATGGCTTTTCTTAAAAGCATATAATTTCCCGATCGCGTACAAGAATACGTGGCAAAACGTAATTTTAAAGTAATAACCTCCATGCTACGAAAAAGTCAATGCACTCACTTGTCATCCAAGATACGTACGTAGTGCGACAGGATCTTAACGACCCAAGTTTTTCCCTTGTCGTCAAAGTGCAGAGGTGACTTGATGATGGGTAAGAGGTATCTGGCTAGCAAAAAGATAAGCTAGCTCGCATCTTAACGTTATCCCCGTCAATAAAACACCATGATTATGGGCATTTATATCTCATGATTCTGATAAATCTTGTTATCTACAAGCGCAAACACAAAAAAATTGATAATAACATTTTCCACCTCGTTTAACACTTATTAAGCAGAATACGACATCGCGTACTATTTCATAAATTTATTATTTCATAAAAATATAAAAAAATAATTATAATTTTAAATATAATTTTAAACTCCAAATGAATATAAATCATCTAAACAATTAAAGACTAAAGAACTCGAGTTGCAGATTTATTGTGCTGATACTAAAAATGCTCTTTAAATTTCAATCGTTTCGATCATTTTATTATGATCCTCTTCAGTGGTGTACATAACTTCACAATTTGAATACATGGCAATTACAATTATTAGTTTATCATTATATCATTTTGTTTAATAGTTCAATTTTGTGAAATAGTTCCTTGTTCAAATCATAGATATTATGTGATTTTTAGAATATACAGTGGAAATTTTTTTTTATGTTATTTTATAGTTCTTTTAAATTAGTTCGTAATTTCGTTTAATAAGAATTATTCCGAATAATGAAATATATTGAAATAATTACGCTTATAAATAATTATATGACATTTATATAAATAATTATATGAAATTTATATAAATATTTATATGAAGATTTATATGAAGATTGCATGAAATTATTTAATTTTTAAATATTTTTCTTCAAAAGAGATTATATCTTTTTTAATTTTCATCATAGTTTATGTACATGTATTATAAAGACGATTGAAAAGACGAATGATAAACTATTCTATTCTATATTAAACAAAGAATATCTTAAGCTCAAACATTCTATTTTATGTTTATTATGTTTATATTTGTTATTATGTTTATATTCTATTTATTATGTTTTGAAATAATTTTTCGGTTTTTTTTATATATATTTGTACATATTCACTGAAAAGTATTTGTGTACTGTAGTCGAATAGTTGCATGTATGTGGTAATATATCGGGATGTACGGCTAAGAATTCTATCTGCCGCACCTTTTTAATTTACATAGAATTGATTTCTCTATTCCCTTTTATACTTTCTTAGGTAACGCTATGTACATACGCGTATTATTTATAGACTAATACTCTTAAAGTTATTCTTATTAAAAAAATATACTTCGTAAATTTTAAAATAAAAAGATTAAGTTAAATTTTATGTCAAATTTTAATATTTAATATTTAATGAAGCTAATTATCTAAAAAATTAATTGTTACTATTTTGCTTTTTATTTATATATCTTCTATTTCTTCATTCGGTAAGTAATCTATAAGCAGAAATTCTTGTGTACAGAAATCTACTTTACCATCTACAGCTATATTGAACTGCTGCAGATGGTATTGTACCGACTACTGATAGAATATTATTCACATCGATTATATCTGTCTCTTCTTTATCTTCTATGAATACGTTAGAAATTATATTTTTGATAGTTGTTAAATATGGAATTATTTTTATTTACGTCCAAAAATTAAAATTTTTTTCACTCTTTATAAGAGTGAAAGAATATTTATGAGCGAAGAAACCTGACATGTTTCATCTAAACTTTTTTTAGAGTAAAATATTATATCTGTTTTATTTTAATTATTATAAATGGAGGAAAACCCCTTCCTTTTCTATTGAGACAAGCGCCTAATATGAGATAGCAGCATTTCTGCTAAACTAATAAACACTATCTATTGATTCCACCATGAATTTATTGCTCTGGGATTGAAAACTTTAGTAGAAAATTTATTATTAGATCATGCCTGTAATTATTGTAAAACAAGATTTTAGAATTTGGATTTCTTCAAGTTTCATTGAGATGAGCTTTTAAATCTTGTTTATTATTTAATAAATAAATATTTGGCAAATTCTTTAGTGATAGAATAAAGTCGTACTAATAGAAAAATACGAGATATGTTGAATTGTTTAATTACAAAAGTTAGGAGGCGTAGAAACCATAATATGAGATATCCAGGATATTTTTAATATGAAATAACCCATGCTCCTATGTTATACAAAATCGTTGATAAAGTATAAATGTTATTGTACAATAATAAAAAGACAACCGGAATGAACGTTGAGTGCCTATTTCTGCGATGTTTGATTTCAACTATCTGAAGATGAGTTCTGGGTACAATCTATTGCATGCTCACGCTGGTTGTGTTTGTTTGTATTTTAGAAACATTAAATAAAGTTTTTAATTGCAATACTGATATACTTTTTAATTATCGATTTCTCGGGGCATCTCATATTAGGAGCACAATTTCTTGACTTTACGATTTGCTCATTTTTTACATTTCTTTAATTAAAAAAAAATGGTATTTGAATTAAATTTTATATAATGTTATTTTAAAGCTTATTAAATTCTTTTCAAAATGACCTATTATTTTTTTAAATTCTGCCTATAGACTTCTAGCATTTACCCAAAATGAATTCATAATAGAGGTTTTTCCT